GTGTGTGTGTGTTGTTGTGTGTGTGTGTGTGTGTGTGTGTGTGTGTGTGTGTGTGTGTGTGTGATGTTGAGGATTGAACCTAAAGCACTGCATGTTATAGGCAAGTATTCTATCACTGTGCTACATTTCAGGTCCCCTTGTGTGCATTTTAAAAATTAGAATGAGAAGAATTTATTCCATGGGTAATGAAGAAGAGTGACAGGTTGGATCTCTACAAACATTAGCATGCTAGCCAAGTGTGTCTATAATTCAGTCATTAGGGAGGCTGAGACAAGATAATTCGAAGTTCTAGGCCAGCCTCAGCAATTTAGTGAGGCCCTAAGCAATTTAGTAAGACCCTGTCTCAAAAGAAAAAAGAAATGTAATTTGGATGTAATTCAAAGACCAAGTAAGTGCCCCTGGGTTTAATCCCCAGTACCAAAATAAATAAATAAATAAATAAAATAAAATAAAAAAAGTTAGCACACTAGTTTAAAAAGTTATTTGAGCTACCAGCAAATGCAAAACTAGTCTGATGGTGGGCTGGAGTTGTATCTCAGTGGTAGAGTGCTTTCCTAGCACATGTGAAGTACTGGGTCCTCAGCATCACATAAAAATAAATAAAATAAGGACTAAAAAACAAAGAGTGTGATGGCATAATGTGACATACTAGACAAAGAGAAGGGAAACTGAATTCAAATTCTGGCTCTGCTAATGTGTTAAAGGACCTTGAGACTGGGACTTAAAAAATGTTGGAACTCAGGGTGCTTATTTCTGAGATTAAAAGAGTTGACTGGATCATCTCAAAGGTTCAACTCTTTTTGGTCGTATAGACTTTAAAGTGATTATGAAGCTTGTAACAATAAAATTGTTTCTGTTTTAGAACAAAGAGTGACACCAAGTGGAACAAAATAAGAAATACACTTTTTTTTATAGCACAGTAGCTACTTATGATCCAATATACTGCTTTTATTATAGTTTAGGAGCAATTTAAAATATATTGCAGATATTCAAAGTAGTGAATTGAAAAGATATCTTAAATAGATGAACTATGTTAAATTAACTCTTTTGTTTTCAGAGGCAGGAAGGGTGTTAGGCCTACCACTTTAATCTCTTTATATTTAAATGGTAAATTTAAAATTTCAGCTTCTGGATTTGACTTTATATTAAATTTATATATAATTTAGAAAGAAACGAACAAAATTATTCTAAACTTTCTCCTAATCCTTTTTTTTCATTTTTTCATATTTAAACTTGCAATCCATTTGAAAATAATTTTGGTATGAGCTTTGAGGGAGAGATTTACTTATTTTTTTTGGCAATTATTTCATTCACTTTTACCACTGATTTGAAATGCCAAACTTTTCAATTTATCCTTTCATTTTTTAAAATTAATCACTGTTATTTTATACATATTATGGGGTACAGTGTGATATTTAATATATGTGTACAATGTGCAATGATCAAATCAGGGTAGTTAGCATTTCCATCTCCTTAACATTTTAAAAAAATTTTGAGTAACATAATAATTATGTGTTTATGAGATACAGTGTGATATTTCAATAGATGTGTACAATGTGAATTGATCAAATCCAGGGAATTAATATTTCCATCTCTTGGGAGTTCATAACCCACTTCAATCTAATGTATGAAATATGATATGTCAAGAGCTTTGTAATGTTGTGAACAACCAATTAAAAAAATAAAAAATTAAAAAAAAATATTTCCATCTCCTTATCATTACTCATATTCATCTCAGTTAAAATGGCATTATCAAAAAGACAAAAAAGTTACAAATGCTGAAGAGGCTGTGCAGAAAAGCAAATACTTGTATTAACATTGTTGGGAGGAATCAAATTAGTATAGTCATTATGAAGAACATTATGAAGTTTTCTCTAAAAACTGAAAATAGATCTACCATATGATCCAGCAATTCAGTTATTGGGAGTATCCAAAGGAAAACAAGTGTGTCAAAGAGATACCTGTGCTCCCATGTTCATGACTATAGTATTCACAATAGCTAAGATAAGGAACAGAAGGACATCAATGGATGAATGGATTTTCTTTAAACTACGGTATATATGTACACACATATGCACCAACATACATAAGTATATATAAATAAAAAATAGATATAATGAAATATTGAGAGAGAAAAGTAAAAGATATCATTTGCAGCAAAATGGACAGAATAGCAGGATATTAAAATGAATCAGAGAAAAACAAATACCACATGTTCTCTCTCATATGTACATTCTGAAAAGTCAATCTGAATGTAAGAGTGATTACAAGAGTGAAGGGAGGGGAGATGAAGACAGGTTAAATAACAAGTACCAAAACACTAAAGGAATAAATTCTAGTTTTCTATAATGCAATGGGGTGACTTTTATAATGTCTATAATATATTTCATGAATAACTTAAGCCTGAAATGCCATTTTTCTATGATGTGCTCTATTTATGACTTGTCTATTCTATTTCCATTAATCTGTCATTCTATTCTGGTTTTAGTACCACACTCCTAGTCATATTTTATTTACAATTCATTTTAATATTTGATAGATTGTCTACAGTCTCCCATACCCTACTTATCACCAATCTTTTTCAATATTTTCTTGGCCATCTTTACATATTTACTCTAAACTTTGTAATCATTTTGTCAAATGTCCCCAAAATAGTTTCACTTGGATTTTGATTGGGATTTTAATACACTTTATTTGATAAGAATGGATATCTTTATGGAATTCCAGAAATATACTGTTTATATCAATATTTTTAAACTTTTCAATGTTTTTAAGGTCTTGGATGTTTTCCATTTTATTCTAGCTATATTATATGTTTTGTCTGATACCATAAAGGCATACCTCCTATATCATCAGCTGTGCAATTTTAAAAAGGTTGGAAAAAACAAAGCCAATAACAGAGTCTTATATAAAATTACAAATCTTCCACCATCTTAATCAGTATTGTTATCAGTCCAGCAGCAATTAATCTCTTTAAACTGTCCTTCTCCCCAACGTGCTTATTTCCATTTTATTCACAAAAATATCATGAGATTCCATGTCAAATACCTTACTGAAGTTCAGATATGCTGTTTTTAATCATATTTCCCTACCTACTTACTATAGAAATGGGTTAATCTGGTTGAATACAACTTGATACTAATGAATCCATCCCAGGTCTAGTGATAAATCAATCATTCACTTTCCCAGGTACTTAACAAATTATCCTCACATATTTTAAATTCTTACTTGTATCTGACAATTACACAACACTATTTCTCAAATAAAGTATCACAAATTAAAGAAAAAAAGTGGGTGGGAGATAGTTTAGTCACTTGAAAGATGAATGATTCTAAAATATTCAAACCACCCCAAGAAGCCTAGTTCGACTCCTAGAATGTTTATACTGATAGAGAAAGACCACTTAAAGTCTTGTTATAATTGAAAAGTCATTACCTTTGCCCCACAGTCTGCTCCTTTCTGAATGCAAAATCCAATGAACCGTGGGTCTGCCACTTTTACCAATATGTTGTCCACACAATAGACATGAATGCTCCAAATACCTCTTTGCTCCATATCCTCCACAATATTATGGGCTGCAAGGGCCCGATAAAGACCACCATTACCATCTAAAAAATAAAATAGCCCATTAATATTACACCAAAACCCATTATAAGGGTAACCCAAAGATTGTTTAATGTTTCCAACTGGGATGGAGATCTCTGAAAAACAGTTTCACATTACAGAGCCAAGAAAACTGGATAACCATATAGAAGAATTTAGGTGTTAAAAAGTCATTACATGATTTGGAAGGCTATTAAGCGAAAATATCCATACAATAACATTATTAATAGGACCAGGCAACCCCAAAGACCATGTTTCTTTTTAACTCAGCTCCTTTTAATAACTTAGCCTATAATATATTGTGCAACATAAAATTCTCAGGGAATGATAACTTTATAACATATCAAGTTTTATTAACATTTATGAGATTCAAATTAGGTCTCTATATAAGTCTCTGACATGGGCTATCCATGTCATACATCTCCAAAATGTTTACACCAAACCACTGGTTAACAAATCAGACTGATGTGAAGATCTATGGTAATTTCAGTACAGGTAAAAGGCTCTTCTTTTCCCATCTACTTTTAGTGCTGCTTTAATGTTCTTCTTTCATCAACAACCTTGTTTATTGCTTAAATAATAACAAAAAAATCTCACAACTTCCCAAATAAAGCTAAGAATAAACAGGAAACTCTTTCATTAAAAGAATTATGATTTTTACATAGAAAATTAAGATGAAATAAAAGCCTGCATCTGGAAAGCACCATTTTTAGTACTATTATTTCTTTTCTTCCAACTATGGTTTCACATAGATATGAACTTATCAATAGGCTTATTTTTTATTTATTTTTAATTTAATTTTATTTGTTTTTCTTACTGTCTTACATGACAACAGAATCCATTTTGATAAAATTATACAAGCATAGGATTATATCTTATTCTAATGAGAACCTCATTCTTGTGGGTGGGCATGATGGTGGGGTTCATACACATTTTCATATGTGTACATAGGAAAATTATGTTAGATTTATTTTTATAGTTGTGATCATACTCAAGGTCACTGTATGTGGCTACATAAGTGGTACCCTGGCCTATTATAGTGGGTACCACCAACAAACCACAACGTGCACACACTAAGTTGAATTGTACAAAGCTATGGCCCTAACCACATTTTGTATGCAGTTCTGTCTGTATTTTTGTTCTCTTAATCTATTTAAATGACTTTTCTCTATTGCTTATTGTCTCTAAACAATAATTTTAATGCTACTTAAGAGTTAATGCCATTTAAAACTATAATTTCGCCTCTTATTTATTAAACAGCAGGTGTTTTCCAATTTTTCACCACAATAACATAATGTTGTCAATGACACTACTATATATGTAAAACACTGGGTAAAGAGAATAAATATCCTGAATGCTGTTCAAATTTACTCTAAGTCAGATGTCTACACAAAGCATGTATCCATTCTACCAATGGGCATTTCCATCTTTTTAAATCATTGCCAAGTTGCAGAAAAAAATAATTCTTTTTTTAAACATCCAAATCAAAAGGAAATCAAAATTTCATGATTTAGGCTATCAGTATTTCTAGTCATCAATAAATAAGGATGATTACAAACCTGGAGCCATAGAAACTTTGTTCTTCTCTTCTAAAATAATTTTCCCATCAAAACTCATAGCAGGCAGCATTCCCTGCTGAAAAAAGACTACATTCTCTTTTTTTAAACCAAAGTACTTGTGCTTTGTGAAAAATTCCTTTGTAGATTCCATTGTTCTGCCACTGGTCATTATATACCTTACAAGAGAAAAGTACAAGATTCTCTAAGTAATAGTGGAACCATGAGAATTAGGGCAAAGTAAAGCTTTATCTATTTACTGAGCTAAAGAAAAATTTTGAGAGCACTTGTTTCTTATTTTATCTTCCTTTGTCTTTTTCCTGGGTAAGACAAATTCATCAGCTGCTATTCAAGAGGAATTCCTCCAACAATTTTATGCATAAGCATAAAATAAATCTATATAATAGTAAACACACTTTTTCTAACAGAGAATCTATAGCTAGCTAAAATATTTAGAACTCTGTGAAAGTATATTAAATTTAAAGCTTTTATTATAAATAAATAGGGAGAAGAGATAACTACCATGCAGTCTAATGATCTCTTGTGCTTCTTTTTTTTTCAAAGAACAAATACATTTTATTATTTATTTATTTTAATTTGTTATATATGATGGCAGAATGCAATTCAATTCATATTACACATATAGAGCACAATTTTTCATGTCTCTGGTTGTACACAAAGTAGATTCACACCATTCGTGTCTTTATACATGTACTTAGGGTAATGATGACCATCTCATTCCACCATCTTTCCTACCCCTATGCCCCCTCCCTTCCCCTCTCTCCCCTTTGCCCTATCTAAAGTTCCTCCATTCCTCCCATGATCCCCCCCAAACTTTTGCCCCCACCATCCCCATTATGAGGTATCATCCTCATATCAAACATTCGGGATTTGGTTTTTTGGGATTGGCTTACTTCAATAATACTTAAATAATATTCTCCAACTCTACTCATTTACTTGCAAATGCCATAATTTTGTTCTTTTTTAATGCTGTGTAATATCCCATTGTGTATATATACCACATAAATATTTTCTTGTGTTTCTTTATTTTATTAAAAATTTTTTGTGTCTTTGTTTTATTTATTTATGTGGTGCTAAGGATCAAACCCAGTGCCTCATGCATGTGAAGCAAGAGCTCAACCACTGAGCTACAACCCAGCCCTTATTTTATTAAAATTTAAAATGGAATTTAGGCTTTGTTGCCTTCCATTTAGAATCACAAAAGTATAATTATACATTATATTGTCACAAAAATTCAATTTATGCTAGTATGGCAAAGGAGAAAAAAATTCCATCTAAAACCATGATTAGGTAACTATAGTAGTTTGGGGCCTTTACTATAAACTACACGTAAGTAGGGATTTTTGTTGTGATGACTGATTAATCCCCAGCACTTAGGAGTAGGCACTCCATTAATATTTCTTAAATGAATGAAGGTATGATTCTCCCCACAGTAAATAATCTGGGTATTTTGAACCTTGGCACAAAAAACTGGGGAATGATTTAGATGATGACAAAGAGGTAACTAACTGCTTGGCATAAGAAAACAGAAATTCTGAGTTGTGAGAAGATGGAAGAAAATCCAGCATGACTGATGTTAGGAGGCCAGGGGCATTAAGTAGAATGTTGACTGCTTAGAACACAAATGTCCTTCAAAAAACTTCCACAGGAATCAAGATGAGGGAAAAAAAAAAATTACAGCAGGCCAGTACTTGTGTTGAAAAGAGCTAAAAAATCTGAAGGGGGAAAAAAAAATATCTTTAAAGGCATCAGAGAGCTACAGAAGCAACACAGATTGGATCTAAAGTCCCAAAGAGGAAGAATCTTTCAAAGGGGAATTAAGGATATCCAGCTGCCTTGTCCTCAGGGTTTTGCTGATTTTGTGGTAGAGTGTCTGCACTTGGACCAAAAGCTACTGCTAAGGGCAGAGAAGAGAAGCCAGCAGAGCTTTTACTGGTCACATGAGACTGAAATAACAAGATTAGACTTGAGAGATATCAAACGCACAACTGGTTTCCCCCTCAAAATGTACTAACTTCCAAAACTACCCTGGGAAAATAATTCAAGAACTTCTAAAAAGAAGAGCAGAATTTCCTGTAATCTCTTGGTGCTTAGAATGCCAACACTGATCAAAGTAGAGGGTCTGAGAATATGTCATACACTAGTGGAGGCCAAGAACACCAGTTTGACCTACAGCAGAGAAATCAATGTAGCTTTCCATCTGGTGTGTATATGGAAAAAACGGGGTGGGGAAAACTAGATAACCTAATACTTAAGGATATTAGTTTCTATACTGAGAGAGCCACCCAGAACAGTGACTGAAAATAGACCCATACCATGTCATCATGAAATGTCAGCTATTAAATGTATAAAGAGAGCCTAAATGCTTTCAAATTAAAAAAAAAAAAAGACTGGGAATCAAAATGGCAAAATGGCATAGATATTATAGCAATGCTGTAAGTAAAGCAATGCCTTCAAATTCTGAAGAAACTCATTTCTTTAAAAAAAAAAAAATTCTATACCTAGACAAACTATCAATCAGTATGAAGCTTCTACACTAGAAGAGACCACAGAGTAGGTCCCTTCTTAAAGGTACCTCTAAAGGTACTTGGGAATATAAAAGTTAGAAGTGAGTAGATATTGTTAATTAAGGCCTTAGAGGTCATCTATCTAGCTATAAGAAATACTAATTCTTTTTAAAAATGTTTTTAGTTGTAGATGGACACATTCTAACATATATAGTAAAATATACCTCCCGAGAAAATCAGAAATAATAGAAAATGTGTCTGCATACGAATAAGGTGTGCAGGAATTTTGAATATTATAAAACAATATTTGTTCAGACATTCCCATGAGACATATCTTACCATGGAATGATGCATTTGTTGCCATGATATTTTTCAGCTAACTGCTGTAGCTTCAGGATACGTTCTGCTTGAATCTGAAAAAGTGTCTTATGGGATGGCAACCCAACATCGTACATCCCCTTGGGATATGCAACTCCAAGTCTTGTCCCCTGCCCACCGGCTAGAAGAAGAACTGCTACTTTGCTCTGAGAAATCTGGAAAAGTCCTAGAAAAGAAAACACTTATATCACAAAACCTCTATAATTCAACATACAGAGGTATTAGCAAAAACATACCCAATCTAAGGCATGAAGAACAAGGAATCTACAAAGCATCATGAATGACTATCTTGTTAATAAAAACATTTTTATTATTAAAACAATTAAGTTTATGTAAATCAAATACCAAAAAATGAATGATATACTTTATGAACTAATAAAAATTTCTTCTAATAACATGAGGAGGCAAGGAGTAAGAGATGTTATAAAGGTTTTGTAAAAATTTATCAGATGTGGCAAATCAAGAAGATAAAAGAAGATACCAAGTTTTTAGGACATATGATGATGCTATTAAACTTCCTCCAAAAAAAATTACCTCCAGGCTATAAATCTATCAAAAATAATTAATCAATAAGCATGCAAATACACTAGGCAAGCTACTACCCTATATATGTCAGAGAAAAGAAACTTTCAGTTGGGAAAGCAGTAGAGTGAAATGGTTAGGACCCCAGTCTCTGAAGTTAGAATACATGGGCTAAAACCTCACTAAAATGAATGAAGCTTGGGGAATTACATACAAAGGGCATTAGAAGACTTCGTAGGGTGTGAGAAATAATCTAAATCTTGATTGAGGTGATAGTTGAATAAGTGAATATGTTTGTAAAACTATAAAATTATCCATAGTATTGTATGCAATTATATTTTAATAAAATTTGGGCTGGAGGTATAGCTCAGTGGGAGAGCATTTGTCTAGGATATGCAAGGCCCTAAGTGCAATCCCCTATGCAGCTCAATAAACTAATCTTGTAAAAATGTTTTAAAAAGTGGGCCATATTCAGTATTTCAGAAAATAATGAGATTCAGAGTCTTTTCATGACTAACTTAGTTCTTCTGTCTAGAATTTGTCATTTTTCACCAGTTGAATATTCAGCAATAAGTAATATTCAAACAATGCTTGAACAAAAATGTTATTTTTTGAACCAAAATGAATTCAAGATAGAGTAAAAATCCAAATGCAAACAAATAAAACTAGAAAAGCTATTGTAAGACAGAGGCTGTCAGTTTGGATTAAAAAAGAAACACCAATATCTACTATATTCCATTTCTAAGACCCATTTTTTCACTCAAAGGTGTACAGTCTCAGCGTCAAAAGGCAGAGAAATTTGTTGGGGGAAGAGGCTGAATGAAAACTGGGTCTCTGGCAAGCAAGAAAAACTATAAAATGTAAGATAAGATTAAATCAATGGTTAGTTTATGTTCTAATTTTTTGAATTTCATGCTTTCATTAAAATTTTTAGAAATTTCTGTGAAGAAATGTGGCCACTGGCCATAACTATAAACCACCATTAATTAGAGTCAGCCCTTTGTATCTGCAGGCTCTGCATCCATGAATTCAACCAACTGTGCATCAAAAATATTCTAAGGAAAAAAGAATTGTGTCTGTACTAAATTTGAACAAACTATTTTTTTCTTGTCATTATTCCCTAAACAATATAGCATAAGAACTATTTACATAACATATACACTGTATTAGGTACTATAAGTAATCTCGAGATGGTTTAAACTATATGAGGGGATGCGTGTATGATATATGCAAATACTATACTACTTTATATAAGGAACACAAGCATCCAAAGATTTTGATATCCAAGGAGGATCTTGGAATGAATCTCCCACAGATACCAAATCCGGTAATGTGGGTTGATCGAATTTATGCTTTATGTATTTTGTGTTTTATGTATTTTTTTAAGAGAGAGAGAGAGAGAGAGAGAGAGAGAGAGAGAGAGAGAGAGAGA